TTTTTTTTAAAAAAGTGAAACCAAGGACAAATACTGTATGGTGCCGCTGTTGTAGAATGAGGATGACATCAGGGTGGTGATAAGTCTGAGAAAAACTGGGTAAATTATATATACTGCATTGAAGCCGATGAGGGAGAGAACAGTTTAAAAGTAATATATTTTAGGGCATTATGATTATCATAAAAGTTCGGAATGAGGGTTGCAGAGTAGAGTATATTTGGTGTGATGTTGGGAGGGTGTGTTGGGGGGACTGTATACCAATGGAGGAGTTTTTCTTTTGCTTTCAAAGAAGAGTGAAGTGGGGGTGGGCGGGGAGAACAGTGCAACAATGAATGAATGGAAACCCACAATCTCTGTAAATGTTCATTGAAATGAATAATAATAATTAAAAAAAAGTGAAACCATGCAATATTTATTCTGAGATTTTGTTTTACTGATAATGTCTTCTGGATTCATCCACGTTATAATGTATTTTAACAACTCATCATTATTCTTTATCACTGTATATAGTATTCCATCTCACCACTTATCCATTACTTTATTGTACTTTGGTGCTTTACATGCTGTGATGCTGGAAGCTGTGTCACTAGTAAGAATAGGATCAGCCCATAGTGGATAGGTTTCAGCAGAGGCTCCAGACTAAGATAAACTAAGAAGAGTGATAATTGATCTACTTTTGAAAATATTGGTCAATTAAAACCTGATGAGTAGCATCAGAACATTGTCTTATTGCCAAAGATGAACTCCACAGCTTGGATGGAACTGAAGATTACAGTTAAGACACCATTGCTTCTTCAAAGTAGTCTACTCTCCTTGATGATGTGGATGAGTAATGCTTTCAGCTTTCAGTACTTTCATTTCCTCATGTGGGATGACTCAGATGAGAATAAACAACTGTGGCATTCACTCAAAGAAGTTATTTTGAGGGATAAAATGTTACTGACCCAATCCATGGAATTTTCAATGTCATAATATGCATTTGAAATTTGTGCGTGAATGAGGAAGACCAAAGAAAAGTTGAGGACTCTGAATTATGATGTTGGTGAAGAATTTTTTTTTTCAACTTGTTGCCTCCATTTACATTGACATTCTACTTCATCAAGCATGGTATCTCCTCCTCTTGAAACATGTTTAAAGTATAGGAGAGATGCTCTCTCCATTCTCATTTCTAAGGAGCATTTGAATGCACTTCTTCCAAGACAGATTTATTTGTTATTTTGGTAATCCACACATAGTGTAGTCGGTATTCTTTGAGCAGCTCTGGTGGCCTCGTGGCAAGAAGCTGCACTGCAATCCTGAAGGCATGTGGTTCAAATCCCTCTGCTGGAGAAGGAGGGGCAATCTCCTCTTGTGCCAGTTGGATTGAATGCAGTGGTACACAACCAGGGAAAAAAAAGTAATCTATTGTTTTTCATAGTGATTGTACCATTTTTCTTTATAATTATAATATTCCTCTTAGTGATTCCTGAATATGATAATGGCTGCCTGCCTCCTCTTAAGCCCATAATCAGTAACAGTGGGACAAACCCCAAAAACTTTAGATCAGCCTTATGTTCAATATTAAGAAATTTGTTGATAACTTATTACTTGGTTGCATATTAAGAAGCCATGATTGTCTCCATAGATGCAAAAAGAAATGTATTTGTAGTAAACTATTTTAGTAGCACTTTTAAAAAGGGGGGGAGTATTTTATGTGATACATAGTGTCTACTTCAAAAACATCAGAGTCATAACTCACCTGGCAGGGGAGATAACCATGATCACAAAAACATCAGAGTCATATTCATGAAAAATAGTTGGAAAAAGCCATTCTCTATTATTTAATAGTAGAAACTCTGACCAGTGCTAAAAATGTGAAACAAATATAAAGTAGAAAACCCAATATAAATGGAGTTCTATTTCAGTTTTACTTTTGGGATAATTCTTAGGTCATTCAAATTACAGATTTTTCTTTTATTCCTTTTGTTACTCATACAATATATCCACAAAAGAACAATCGAATTGTCTTGTGCTTTCATGCTTGGTGCTGCAGTTAGTGTGGCTTACTTGATTTTGGTTATTGCCAGCTGTGTTGAGATCTTTCTCATCCCTCAGTTACCAGCATAGCAGCAGTTACTTTCTGCTCTGATGCCCGATACCTATGACTAGTTGAGCAGTTTGGTTCTATGATATTTTTTATGAACTTATTTTATAATCCTGGGAGTACTCAGAAATACAAGTTCCAAACTGAGTGAACAATGAAAATAAAGATGAAGAAAAGGATGTAGATGAATAAACTCATATAATGGCACTGTTGTCTTAATACTTGACTCCTTTCTCAGGAAACCATGGTAAGCTCCCAGTGCTATGAATTTCTGTAGCAATTAATGACTCCCTTCATTAGGAGTCATTTGGAAGTAGCCAGTTTGGTTAAACACGACATAGGAGTATTTCCCAAGCATCTGCCAGTCTCTAAAGTTGGTTTGTGACTGCAGTCTATGAAATCTTTTCTTTCTTCTTTCCCCCCCACCCTGTAGTATCTGGAGAGGGCCAAATGTGAACTGTGTTGACAGCACTGGATATACCCCCCTGCACCATGCCGCTTTGAATGGCCACAAGTAAGTATTAATGTGCACCTTTTTTCCATGCTTCATATTTTATGCCTTCAGGTTGTCTTTCTTGCTTCACTATGAGAATTTTACTGAGCAGTGGCACTGAGAAACTAAAAAACAAACAAACAAAACAACAAACAGACAAACAAAAACCAAAACACCAAAAACAAAAAACCAGAAAAGAACAAACAACAACCCCAAACAAAAACCAGGCTTAATTTCATTCTTCCAGGATTCCCAAATCTTTCTTTAATGCATAATTTAAACATCCCCCCCTACACACATATATATGTACACCCTCTAAAAAATTTTGAGCTTACAGGTTACTTAAGTTTAACATTTTTCTGCTTTCCCTTTTCACCTCTGGAATGTGCTACTGCCCTATAACTATTGAAATAGGAAGGTGCTATTTGGGACAGCCAAATAACAGAAAGGCTGGATAACCTATTAGGTAACTAGTCCCTTGATAAACTGAAAACAGATCAAATGGCCATGAAAAACTTGTTTTCTGCTAAAGTAGTTATTTGTTTATTCTTCTTGCCTATCATGTTAAGCAATTAGAGCTATTTTCATGTGAAACAGACAAACAAAACATAAATAATCTGGCCTATATAATTCCCTGTGTATAGAGAATTTATTAGGTATTGAATAGGATTTATGTGGAATGTTTTCTGGAGAAGGTGAGCTTTGGGGAATTTTTAAAAAGGTGTCATTGGCTTAAGTGATTTGGCAGTGCCAGAGCGGCACTAACCTTCAAAGTGAGGGGGAATTTGAAGGCTCAGAGAGTGAGGCACTCAGTTATATACAGAGCTCAGTGATTTCTTTAGTCAGAATGTGGAAGAATGGGACCTGGATGGTAATAGAACAGAAGATGTTTGAGTTTGAGGCAAAATGGTATAAGAAGTAAACAGTTGTTTATTTTATATGGAAAAAGTTTATTGGAAATCATTTTAGGTTTTTCTGAGCAAGTAACAAGGCCCTCTGTCCTTTGGCCCAGCTTAATTGGCTCTGGTTTCCTTTAACATTGAACCTTTTTGTATATTGATTATTATTTTTTTCTATATTGTTGTTGTTATGTGCCATTGAGTCACTTGTGACTCATTTGTACAATAGCCCTGACACCTGCTCTATCTTGTGCCAACTTTACTGTCTCTGACACACATACCCTCATTACCCCAGTCACTGAATCAATCCATGTCATTGATGGTCTTCCTCTCTTTCTCTGTGCTTCCACCTTTCCAAGCATGATATCCCTCTCCAAGGACTAGTCCCTCCTTAGAAAAGATAAAAAGAAATATGTAAAGCTTCCCCTTCCTTAAAATAGTGAGATCAATGGAATTAAAATGAATCTTGAATGGAAAAGACTATCACTTGTTAGCCAAGTTCCTCTTCAGATGCTGTTTTTTATTTACAGTTGGGTTTTCCTTTGACCTTATGTGCCTGGAGATAATTGTGCACTTGTATTTGCTTAATTAGTGGTGTCACCAAGAAGAAAGCCAAGTCCCTCTTTCTGGTGATATCAAATGATGCCATATGTGTCTGGCTTATATTTGTAACAACCACTCTACCCATCCTCTTCCAATTTTCACATCATTAAATGTTCTAACTAATGTTGTTTGTCTTCCATAACTATTTTTATGTAAATTATGTTCCTGAATGCTATTTAAATATCAAAACCAAGGAGATTTGTGAGATTTCTGTATATTTGTGAGATTTAGACAAGGAGATCAGACATTTTCAAAACAGTTGTGAAGTAGGTGGATTATCAAGGAAACCTAGATGAATGGGACAGTGTCGCTCAAGATGGTTCAGCTGCCATATAAGAAATTCCTGAAATAAAACAAGAAACGGAGGCAATGCACTCAGGTACAGATGGGGAACCAAGTGAATTGATATTTGTGAAAGGGCTATATGCCGTGCAAATGTACAAAACTGTTACCTGAAAAGACTTAAGAGTTGTACAAGCTCATGATTGACTTTTGCCTTTTAGGGATGTGGTCGAAGTTCTTCTGAGGAATGATGCTCTGACCAATGTGGCTGACTGTAAAGGCTGTTACCCTCTGCACTTGGCAGCCTGGAAAGGAGATGCCCAGATAGTGCGGTTGCTCATCCATCAAGGGCCCTCCCACACCAGAGTCAATGAACAGGTCGGAAAGAAAGGAAGCTTCTTTTTCCATTTAGCTATAGCCAGACTTTTGCAGTCCCATTACCAAGAGTCCCATAGCTCAAATCTGGAACCAGCTCTTCTCCAGCACAAATAAAACTCAGCCTCACTTGGCTCTACTCACTCCTCTTAATGTTATTAGGGCAACCTTATACTACAAGGTTGCATTTTATATGCATTTGAGCCATACATCTTTGAAGTAGTGCTAGAATAAAATGATAAATACTTTATGTGTAAAATTTGAAGAATACAAATCCTTCAGCATTGCAAAGAGTCAATTTAAAAAAACTGATAGGCTTAATGAATTATCAGTTGTGCTTATGCCATCAATATGGCAATGCAACTTTAGCTTGTAAAAAGGAATACTTACTAATGTTTGTTAGTACTGTGTGGCACCATACTGTGTTTTTTGTTTGTTGAGTTTTGTTTTGCTTTCCTTTGTCTTCATGAAAACCAAAACTTGCTGAAGTGGAAATACTAATGCTGGTTTTAAAAATGAAATAATTCAAAATCATAAATGCAAGTCAGAGGTAATTCAACAGTATGAAGATTGCTTCGAAGATGCTCTCTGATGTTAATATAGAAGTGAGCATGCTTTAAAAGAGCAGGGTTAATTGTGAAAACATGAAAGGGCAGGATTTGACCAAAACTGCCTCTTAGAATGATCATGGATTTAAATACTGTAGAATAATAATTTCTCTTAATGTTTATTCCTTTGGGAAAATGAGACTTGAATTATGCTAGTTTTAGACAAGCCTCTCATAAAAAATAACTTCCTATAGTTTGGATGAGAAGTTTGTTGTATATCCATCTGAAAGGAAATGCCCTTTTTATATGCCAAACTATTCTCTGTTGTCCTTCCTGTAATCTGCACCAAAGCAGGTATTTCTCTCTCATGTGTCCTAATGGGGACAACACTACTCTCTCTTAATTAACTTAGGCTTTCTTAACAAATTTGCTGAGAGGATATTGTTAAATTACCTGCAGGATTAGATGAGAATGTTCCTCTAAAAAGTAGCAGTTTTTTTTCTGATGAGTCCATCTGTCAACAAGACTTATAGAAGTTCTCACTGAGCTGTTAAGGGCATCACTTTGATTCAGAAAAAGGCAGCTCCACTCTGAGGCACAAGAAAATGAAAAGTCATACTCTCAAATTTCTTGATCTGGACATTGTGTATATACAGCTGTCAGCCAGCTTCCCTTTCTCCTTTTGGCTTTATATTTTTTGGGTAGGTGAGCAACAGACATTTAAAATCATCAGTAAATTTGCTTATTTACAACATTTGGGAATGGATATTTTTCTATTTTGAATTGTCTCTTTAGAATGTAAGTAGCATTTTATTCCTCCTGTTTAAAGTGGTAATTTCTCTTCTTAGGAGGAAATTTATAAGGAAGTTTGCTTTTAACCAATAGTCCTCCGTGTTGAAACACCTGGCTATGTATTAAAGTCCTTCTCATTTAAGAAATTTCCAGCAACCATTTCTAATCCTTTGCTCACTTTTGCCTTGGAACACAGCTGCTTAGATTTTCAAGTCACTTGAATGTGCTAGCTTGTCCTGCTCACAGCTGCCTCTTGCCCAGAGTATTCATTGAGACTAGTGGGACACCAGCCAGTGCTTTGAAAATCTGGCAGGCAGGTGGGTGGGGACATGGCCTGGGCAAGATTGTCTGAAGAAGCTTGAAGAACCTAATGGATCTAGGTAGTAGTAACAAGTACTACATTGATTTATTTAAAAGCCATTAATGCTATTCCAGCTGACTGCTTGGATAAAAGGAGGAGATGAGTGAGGTGCCCTGGAGGTTGTCTTTCCCATTAACTTCCTTTGGAGGTACCCAGAGGACAAATTCTAGTTGTTCTAGTGTTGAATTCCTTCGGGGCTGTGCATTGCTTTGATATATTTTATCCATTTCATCATCACCTTTTCTTTTCCCCTCCTTTTTGTAGAATGCTCTTGAGATCAAAGAATTCAAAAAGTATGGCCCCTTTGACCGTTATATCAATGCCAAGGTGTGTACTTTGCTGTCAGGATTTCTCGGCATCATTTCTCCAAGCTGCACCTCCTCTTATCCTTGCTGGCTTCCTTTTTGCCCACTCAGGCACCTTCTCCTCACCCTAGCTGTTGTCTGCTTCAGCTCCATCTGCTTTTGGCTTGTCCAGTATTGGGAAAATGCAGCTGTGCTGGGTTTGGGTTTTATTTTTAAAACCCATACTAACTCTAAAAAGGTTGAGTGGTGTCTTTTTTTTTCTGGAATGTCTGAAAAACATAGAAGCAGCAGAAATGGGGAGGTAGAAGGGCCATATTACATGCCAAATTTACTACTGTGATTTCTAAAAAGGATTTCTTAATAAATGTTAGTGCAATTAAAAATTTCAGACTGATTGGCTACTTTTTATTTGCACAAAATAATTAAATTCTATTTGGTGGGTATTTCTATTTTTTTATCTGCTTTCTATATTTTAAGTGGAATCTGATTTTCTTTTCAGGTTTCACTAGTTTATGGAGGTGTGGGGAATGGGAACAGATGACTCCATTTTGCTCTTTTAAAAGCTGTCGCTTGCCAGCTCCTTTCTCACGTCCTTGAGTTTGTGCATTTCTGCCTGTATGAATGCCTTTGTGCATTTCTCCCCAACCAGTAGAATCTCTCTGCTTAGCCACTCTTGACTCTGAAGGGCTCCGAGATAGGAGATGATGTTGCAGGACCAACTAGGGCACTTGACTTGCGTCTCCTTCTCTAAGAGGCCAGGGCAGGCAGGGGTCTGATAAGCCTGGTGACAAGCACGCAGCCCTGCCAGCCTCATCATCCCTCAGGCCTTCTCTACTTAGAGAGCTCTGTTAGGTGGATGGTGGCAGCAGGTTCTTTCATCCATGCTCTCACTTGCTGTTTTTGATCAGAACTTTTATTCAGATGAAGGTTACTTTTTGGCTGTGTTGGAGTTTGACTGAGTCACTGCTTTATTCACATTAACTGCCTTTCACTTGTTCTCAATACAGCTGCCTCAGGCCAGGAAAACATAAGAACCCTGTGCATTAGGTTTCTAAACACAAGGTAGAGATTTCTTTTTTCTTATTATTTAAAGAAATTGATTTAACAAACAAAGCTACATATTCCACTGGGCAAAGGATGCCTCCTGTGGGAGCTTTTCTTCTGCTGCTGGACCTTCATGGTACAGAAGCACTTTGACCCAAGGTAGTGGAACACATCAGCTTTTGTTTGGCCCACTCTTAAAATTCTGTTTTATAATTTAAAAATGAGAAAATACTATACCTCAGATTTTTGTGAGTGGATGGGATGGATATGGGGGAGCAGCCACTGCTGCTTCTTGGTTTTGTTGCCTTGAGCAACTTGAATTACTTAATGTCTAAAACCCTCAGATTTCTCCTTTGTAAAATGAGGTACTACCACATTACTTTGCCTGTTGGTTTTGGAGTTTAAACAAGATAGGATACATACTAGAAACTAATAATATTACAGCTCCTAAATTGAAAAGATACATGTGATGTGTTTCCTTTAGGAAAAGGCTTTTTTGAATCTATTATTGTTGCCAGTAAGAGAATTGTAATGAAGCATTGCTCAATTAGTCTATTTGAGCATTTTAGAAGCAGAAGAGAGGAAAGGGAAGGGGTGGGATTGTGGCGTGGTTGTTATCCCACTTGATGATTAATTTATTTAGGTTATAAAGCTCTGATTAAAGGGTACATCTTTGGTTCTTGAAAGTACATTTTCCTATCCCTTGAGTTTGCACACATGAAAGAAAATTAGTCTAAATGGAATAAGTACATGCTTCTCTCTTTGGAAATACTGCCCTTTGCCTTTTCTTCTCCATCTGGGAAGACCAAATAGTACAGACTGCATTAAGGGATAAAGCTGTTTGGGTTGTGCTGAGAATGCAAACCCTTCTTTAGCTGATTGAAATCTAACCCTCTTAGGTTTTATCCTGACTCAGGAGGTTCTTATTGACTTGGCCTGTGTCTTGGAATTGTTTTGCTAACATACATTTGAGTGTTAGGCCTTGTCAGGTACCTATAGAAATTAAGAAGGCTCTGATTCCTGCTCTGGGAGGAAGAAGAGAGCTTTTGAATGAGCTTAATATTCTTCATCAGCACTCAGACTGTCTCTTTTCCAGGAAGTCAGCACAAACCAATCAAACTGCAAGTTAGACTTAGTTAAGGTGGTTGTTTTTGGTTGTTGTATTCAGTGGGAGATTGTCCATCTTTCTCCTGTGGAGCAGCTGGTGGATTCTAACTGCATACCTTTGAGATGGCAATCAGCTAGCTCCTTACCACTAGGCCACTAGAGTGCCAATAAAACTATCATTTTGAAAAAAAAAAAAAAAAAAAAAGAAACAAAACAAAAACACCCCAAAACAAAAAACCACCCATTATTTTGTCTCTTTTTAAATTATTTTAACTTAGTCTCTCATCAAATGAGTGACAGTCAAATTAGTTGTAAGGTAAATCTGGGTTTTTTGTCCACTTGAAAAAGATTCATACTTAGAGAAGGGAAGGCCTAGAGATTATCTAGACCAGGGATAGCCAAATACTGATCAGCTTGCCTCGCTGCTTGTGAATCGCCTGGTATTTTAGGTGCCTAGGACTGCTGTAACAGAAAGTTGGAATTCAGAATATGAATTGGATTGCTTTCTCTCTCTCTCTCTCTGTAACTGTGCTTGATGATGAACTACTTGAGAGAAAGTAATGTGTATATCATGACCTTTAACCTAAAATCCTTATATGTCCAAAGAACAAGGACAATCCTTTTGTATAATCACAGTAAAGTTACAAAAATAAGAAAATTTAGCAATGACACATATAATACTGTTGTTTAATATAGAATTTATACTTCAGTTTCATCCATGTCCCAATAATGCTCTTTTTAGCAGTTGTTACTTTTATCTAGAACTCAGTCCAGGATTGTTGTTGTGTGCTGTTGAATCAAAACCAACTCAATAGCTGACCCTTTAGTAGGTTTTAAGAGGCCGTAAATCCCATGGGAAGAGATTATTCATTTTTCTCTTGGGAGCAGCTGGTGAATTTGAACCACGTATTTAGGCTCCTTTAATATGGGACAGTTCCATAAGCTTTCTTATTTTCATGATCTTGAAATTTTTAAATTGTATATGTTTTGTACACTATTCCTCAGTTTGGGTTTATCTGATGCTTCCTCATGACTAGATTCAGGTTACACAATTTGGGCAGAAGTGTCACAGAAGTGATACTATGCATAGATTATCCATGCTATATTTCATTCCAAGGCACATGATGCCAATTTATCACATTCTTAATAATGACAAAAATTTCCTTGCTTAAGTTAGTGACTGCCAGATTGGTAAGCTTTTTAACAAAATTTGAAAGGGAGGGATTCTGTTTGATTAGAAGTCTACGTCTCTCCTTGGAATCCTTCCTTTCCCTCCTTTATTACTTAGTGATTCATTGCCTGACGGGTGTCAATCTCAAAGGGGAAACTGTAGGTAGAGCTCATTGTGATGGCTTCTGTTGGATGTGATGGCACTGCTGTCAATTAATCTCAACTCATAGTTGTCCTAGTACTCATTAATTTTATGTTTACCATGTAAATGACAAAATGAGGACTTTTTTGAGGACCATTGTTTAACTTTCCACCCAAAATAGGAATCGTCTTCTCTCTCTGTCCTCTGATGAATGAGCTATCCACTCTGTTTTGTTTGTTTACTTTTGCTGGTAAGAAGAAGGATTCATCATTATATCACCATAGTGGAATTTTCAGCTATTAGTTATTTAACATATCAAAACATAATCAAACTAAACAAACAAACACCAAAACCCCTCATTGCCATCAAGTCCGAACTAACTAGTAGCTAACTGTTACAGATGGTTTTCAGAGGCTTTAAATCACACGGGAGGAATTTCCCATCTTTCTTCTGCAGAGCCATGGGTGGATTCGAACCACCTGAGAGACACTGCCTCTGAGTTAGCAGCACAGCTCCCTAGGAACTTTGTCACCAAAGCTCCCAATTAACAAGTGCCCAAATAGCTATGATCTGTATTAACAGATGACATTTTGTTGTGTTTGCTTGAGATCATCTCTACTCCCCTCCCCCTTCTTCATTATTTCGTTGGTGTTTTAAGGTAAAAGTTTACACAGTGAATTAAGTGACTATTTAACAATTTTTATACAAAAACCTTCCATGACATTGGTTATAATTTTTACAGTGTGCAGCTTCTTTTTTGGATTCTATGAATGTTAGTTTCTTATGCTTAACTGTCATCTGTCTTCCTGAACCTTCAGTCTTTTTGTCAGAGGTCTGCCTTTTAGAGTATGGAGAGTAAGCCTGACACTTCTACTTTATGAAGTTAGTTCTCATGTTTCACCCTAATTTATGTATTTCAAAAGATACTCCCCCCCCCCTTTGTGTTAATTTACACCATTGTTGCTACAGAGAATTGTAGTCCACATTCCATAGCTTAGACATCTATCGAATACAGAGAAATAGGCAGTTGAGTTTTAAGCCTTGGGAGTTTATGCTCCTAAAACAGTTTCAAGAGTAGAAAGGCCATGAAAATGTGTCTTTGTGATTCTGTGCTGCCTCTGGTTTGTTGATGTGTGTGTGCGCGTGTGCGTGTGTGTGTGTGTGCGCGCGCGCGCGCGTGTGAGATATGAATTTAATAGACTTATACATTGAATGGAGCCTGCAGATTTAAGACCCATAAATCCCATTTTGCTTAGAAGTACTGGCCATAGCAAGGAAAAACCCAAAACAAAGCAAACTAATACACCTTAATGAGTAGAAATGGATGGAGTGTGTGTGAAAAGGACTGAGGAAACATTGTTTGTTTGCTTGTTTTATCTGAAGTCATGGTGATAGAGTTCTGAGAACTCTTGAAATGTTAGGAATATCCATGGCGTGACTTGGAAGGTTTGAAAGGGAGGGATTCTGTTTGATTAGAAGTCTATGTCTCTCCTTGGAATCCTTCCTTTCCCTCCTTCATTACTTAGTGATTCATTGCCTGACGGGTGTCAATCTCAAAGGGGAAACTGTAGATAGAGCTCATTGTGATGGCTTCTGTTGGATGTGATGGCACTGCTGTCAATTAATCTCAACTCATAGTTGTCCTAAAAGACAGAGAAGCTGACTGTCCCATTTTTCTTTCTCTGGTGGAGTGACTGGTAGTTTTGAACTGCCAGCCTTTTTGGTTACTAGCTGAGCACTTTAACTCCTACACCACTGCAGTGCCGGAGCTTCTTAAATTTAATGATCCTCCAAAACACACTGCCATCAATTTGATTCTAACTCATGGTGAATCTCCATTTGGTTTCAGAAAACGAAAATCTTTCTGGAAGACACTGCCCATTATTTTCCTTAGGAGTAACTGGTGGATTCAAACAGCCAATCTTTTGGTTTATAATCCAACATGTAATATAGTGCATATACCACCAGAATGCCTCTTGTACAGAATGTTGTTGTTAAGTGCCTTCAAGTCAACTATAACTTACTCATAGCAACCGTTTGAACAGATGGAAGCCTTGCTGTATCCCAAGCCATTGTTACCACCTCCACTCTGCTCAAGCCCATTGTTTCAGTACTGAGGCATGAGTAATACATTTTGCACACTGTGACTACAAGAGTAACTTTCTGCAGAGATACAGTTAGACTATTTTTAAAACAAGGTAGGAATTTTGCCTGGTAGTGATCAAGGCTTTGCCTTTAACCAGGCAGCTTTATAGCAGCTGCCTTAGTTATTGAAAACAAGGAAACAGATGATATTTTCCCCCTAGTGCATAGTTTAGAGTTTTATAGTTTTTCCGGCCCTAATGGCATACTTTTTTTACATAAACAAGGACAAATTATTCTTGTTTTGGGGAGATAATTTGGATATAAAAGAGACAGCAGGATCTGTTTTAGAGGAAACAAAAGTTTTCCAGGGTTGAAGTTGTAAAAAGAATAAGCTGGCTTTCTTGGCTCTTGTGGGCATGCTAATATTGAAACATGAAAGTCCAAAATTTCTTACACTTCTTTGGGTTGTCACTCTGTGTCCAAATCACTTTAAAGAAACAAACCTCCTGTGAGTTTTTTTGATATAATTTGTCTTGTTTTCATGAGAAACTAAAGTGGCAGCTCTGAGTTTGCTAAGGAAGCTTCTGCCATAACTTAATAATAAAAAGGGAAATTCCAGAAGGATATCCTAAATGGTTTGACTGACACAGGGAACCTCAGGAATTTGCTTTCTGCTCAGCTCTTCACTTTCCCTCTGAACTTTTAGGTTGGTGTGGAATTTGTCCCTGAGGCCTGGTTGTGTCATGGGCTGTCTGGCAGAACTGGCTGTGCCTGGCGTCAGTGGTCTACACTCTCTCAGCACTTGCTTTCCTTGAGCTGTATTTGAGTTCAGTGATGCCTTCTCTATTTACTTGTGTGCATTTGTTTTTGCATGGAGCTCTTGCCACCACCTTTTCTGTCCTTACTTAACTATTGTCAATTTACTTTACCATCATTCTGGTCTTGAGCCCTTACTCTCAGCAGCTCTGGATCTTTCTAGTACATTTGGTGTAGCTGGAAAAAATGATGCAGTCAAATGCCGGATCAAAAGCAGATGGAATTGCATGCATGTTGGGGTAACTCCTAGCCTATTAATTGTAACATCCTTAATAGAATTAAAGCAGTTGTAGAAACATTTCAGTTTTTATCATTTGATTGGTGAAAGGTGTAAAATATTAACTTGATGGACACACCTATTCTTAAGCTTTGTGTTGTCTTCAAAGTAGTAGAAACCTTGCGGGTAAATATAAGAATCTAAAAAATCTTACAGGAGAATTACTTTGGAAAGTGTGTCTAAAAAAGGAGAGGTCATTGCAATTTATTTATTATATAATTCTACATTAAAAATACCAAAAGAATTGGAATATTTGAAATGACCAATATTTTTCTCCTAATAGTTGATAAAACAAAAATTCCTCAGTTTTTTTTACTTTAGTTTGAATGAAAATTGGCATTCAAGGACCATGGGTTATGGATTTGAGTTAATGGCACTGCCACATTTTAATGTTTTGCACCTTTCACAGAAAATGTTCCAGTATCTAATTGTACCTTTCTTATGTAAGAGTTTTCAATAATGGCTCTGTTTTAGAGATGTTGGTACTGCATGTGTAAGTGGGTTCAGGCTTCTGAAGGAGACCCAGTGCAGCATCCAGGTCCCATGATCCTCTGTGACTGGGACTGAGTGCCTCCCTCCCCTGGATGTGGCTATTGGCTGGTACCCTGAGATTGATTTTCAGTGCTCGGTTCTGTTACCTTTATTGTTGGCTGATTAATTTGCATGCAAGATGCTATACCGATGACAAATTCTTTAACAAAAGCTTGTATCTTAGGCAATGAATGGTTGATGAATCAAGAATCAGAACGCTAGGGTTGAATAAGTAGAAATTGTTGTAAAACCAGTTGAAGTTTAAAATGAGATAGCTGCAGTGTTATTACTGACATTCTTCTGTGACAGGGTTTCTAGAAAATACCTGTCACTTTTTTGTTCACTATATAATTTGGAGAATTTCCTACACAGCACATAGAAGACAAAATGTGTAGGAGATGACTGCTCCCTCCTTACACAAACCAGCAGAAATCAGAGCAGTAAGCTCATTTGCAGGGAAATACATCTGGATTCCAGCTAACTTTTATGAGTCCCCATGTGTCACTGCTGTTTTTATCATTTAAATTTCAAGTGGTTTTACATCTATTTTATTTCCGTTCTATGCCAGTCAACCAGTTATTTTTCTGATGTGTTTTGCTTCTTAACCCTTTAGAATAATGACAACGAGACAGCCCTGCATTGCGCTGCACAGTATGGCCACACAGAGGTGGTGAAGGTTCTCTTAGAGGAGCTAACAGACCCCACCATGCGCAACAACAAATTCGAGACGCCTCTGGACCTGGCTGCACTCTACGGGAGACTGGAGGTGGTGAAGATGCTCCTCAATGCGCACCCCAACCTCTTGAGCTGCAACACTAAGAAGCACACTCCTCTGCATTTGGCAGCGAGGAATGGCCACAAAGCCGTGGTCCAGGTCCTCCTGGATGCTGGCATGGATAGCAACTACCAGGTAGCAGGGCAGAAGTACCTCCCAGGCTCAGGGGGACTTAGTGATTTTGGAAAAGGCACAAAGACCATACTGCTGCGCTGTGTTTTTATTTAGCATGTTTCACATCATGTTTCAGCCGCTTCCATTTGTTGGCCAGTTTTAATGTGAAACTTGAAAGACAAATGAGCACTTGAAGTGAGTTGTTGGGTTTTTGTTTTTTTTTTGGTTGTAGTTCCCCCGCCCCCCTTTTCAAGCAATCTCTCAAAGATTTTTTTAAAAGTTTCATTATCTTCCTATACATGTGTGTCCATTGCCACATTTTAGCACCTTAAAAAGTCTTGACTTGATATTCTAGACAAGAGATGTAGTTTCCCACTGATGTTAGCTTTCCTCATTCGAGGAGTGACTGTCTTTGGCTTCACATTGACCAGACCACATTTTGTAGTAAGGTGCTTTGCATACCTTGTGCTTTCTCATTAGTCCTTGGATCCAGGAAGGTGGCATTTTGTGAACTCGTGCCAATAAGTGGCTACAAGAGTAACTGTGTGCTCTTCATGTGTGGCCTGCTAGTGGCACATCAAACAGCCTTGAGGTGTGGCCACCATTGTGGGTTTTGGAATCCATGCAAGAAAAGTTGGAAAGATAATGACAGAGGGCTTTGTGTGGTTTACTTTGTTTTCCTTTCTTCTCATCTGTGTCCCATTTGTCGTGTGAAGCCACGCCAAACCTGGGTCACTGTTCTGATGATACCCTGCTCTGCACTCTTGTTTGCTTTCCAGACGGAGAAGGGCAGTGCTTTGCATGAGGCTGCTTTGTTTGGCAAGACCGATGTGGTGCAAATCCTGCTGGCTGCAGGTGAGAGGTCGGCAGCGCTCTTGTCTACACAGCATGCCAGGGTTGGGTTTGCGTCTCCCTAGCCTCAGTAGAGGGAATTCATTTTTTGCTGGCTGTATTTGAACCCAATGTGTGTGTGTCTCCACTGGTTGATGGCAAGTGTGCAGACTAAATGGCTTTTGATGAAAAATGTTGGTCATGATGCTGGGAGCCTTAGGTAGCTTGAAATTTGAACCTTTTTGAGCTGACCTGAAAATACTCACTCTGCTGGTCCTCCTGGTGTGTCTTTTTAGGAATTGATGTCAATATCAAAGATAACCGTGGACTGACTGCCCTAGACACCGTCCGGGAACTGCCCTCTCAGAAAAGCCAACAGATAGCAGCACTTATTGAAGGTATCAGTCCATCTCCTTGTCTGGTACAGTAGAGACATGTTGGCCAAACCAAGGCATTTATATTTGGCACAGTTTTATTTTTCTTTTTTAAAATGTTTCCTTTTAGATCATATGACTGGAAAAAGAAGTATAAAAGAGGTAGATAAAACCCCCACATTCCAACTACCTCTCATCTCCAGTTTGGACACCATATCACAGAAGTCTCAGGGTAAGGCATCTCTTCTCTGCTAACATTGGGGCAGACATATGGGCAAGGGATTCTCAGCTGGAAAATATTTGAACATTCTTTAGCAGAATGGGGGGGAAAATCCTCATTTAAATAATAATTTGAAAAAAAAATAATTTGAGAGGATGAGAGATTCTCAGTACATTCATATTCAAATTCCTTCTCCCTCAAATTCCCCTCCAAGAAAAGGAAATTTTGAACGCTGGTGGCATAATCTGTATGAAGTTATGCTTTTAGTTCAAGGATGGCACCTTTTTGGCAATTCAAATCCATCAGTAGCTCTGGAAAAAGATGGGCAGTATGGTTGTTTTCTTGAACATAGCTTGGGCCTGTGGCTGTTAAACTCTTCTTTCTTTTGTTCTCCACTCTTGCAGCTGGCTGTATGCAGTCTATTTTGAAATTTGTAATAGGCAGGATAGTGGAGCTTTGGTGGCATAATCTGTAGAGAGCTGCGCTGCTAGCTGAAAGGCAGTGCCTCTAAGGCAGTTCAAATCCACTGGGGGTTCTGAGGGAAGAAGATGGGCAGTCTCCTCCCATTCACTTTATAGCTTCAGTAAATTTACTGGAGGGTCAGTTATGAGTCAGTTCCAACCTGAAAAGAATGACATTTTGTCGGGCAAACGTGATAACCACTATACTGTGGAAAGAATGACTTTTTGAATGAGTAGGTAGAATGATCTCAATTTTTAGTCAAATCTTAAGTGAAACTTTTTTAAAGCACACATCCTATGTCAGTGAATATGGAATGACTCATCTGATTAGAAAATAATTTGTATGATAGATCTTGGTTATATTTTGCCAACAAATGTGGCCTTAGGTAGTCCAATCTATACATCCTTAAGTAGGATTTACGGTTTTAATTTACTGAGTAGCCTTTCAGATCCCTAGGTGTGATGAATGATAACCGACAAAGTAAAGCTTAACTGACATCTTCCTCCCAGTATAAATCACAATATGGAAGGCTGACGGAAAAAGAATAAAGTAGAGAAAAACAACACAAAACCAACATGCAAAAACTGAGAAAATAATTTTCCTTAGAAATGGATAGATAAAGATGAAGGAGCACCCATTTTTCTGTCTTTAATGTGAGGTTCTTATTTCCTGGCCCATACATGTTTTTTCTTTGCTTTTGTTGATAGGCTAGTAATAGGACTAGAAGCTCAAAAACATTCAAGAATTTTGCATTTTTAGCTTTAACTGTTTGCAAGCAACCTGGAGATCCTTGGTCTATAATAGCTGGTCATTTCTCCTGGGGACAGATTAAGACCTTTTTTTTTTTTTTTAAGATTAAGACCTTTTGGTTTGAGATTGGTAGTTATCCAGTGGCCCCGCCTAAGCCCCTCTAAGTCAAAAAGACATTGGTGTCTTCCCTTTTGCTTAAGCACCTGGAGAATCCTATGGAGGATTACTTAAGTTTTTGTTTGTCCTTGTTATGTTTTATGGGTTAAGTTTATGCTGTCATGTTATTGAGGTATTTTTTATAGGTTGGGGGTGGGGGAGCAGTTATAGATAGGAAGGATTTTCCATATTGAATTAGAGAAAAATCTGTTTACCTCTCAGAGCACCAAGAGCAGCTGAAACCTCAACATTTATTCTTGTCCATGTAGCGGAGCTGTCACTCATTTTTCTGCTCTTGTTCAATGTCCGTTCAGATTGCTAAAGTAGCTTTGAGTTATTGCAGTGATTTGGAACCAGAGATTATATTCTTTTATTTACTCTCTTGTCCCCAATATCCTCCTTAGGTAACGTGGACAAAGCAGTGACTGAACTGATCATTGATTTTGAGACAACCACTGAAGAAGAGGGTCCGTACGAGGCTCTGTACAATGCTGTCTCCTGCCATTCATTGGACAGCATGGCCAGTGGGCGGTCTTCTGATCGAGACTCCATGAACAAGGAGGCTGAGACAGCCAGTGTGAAAGCTGCAGGAGTGAGGCCTGTAGGTGGTCTGGGATCCTGACTTCTCCATTGGTGTTGGGTGGTGTATTGACCAGCCAAATCTGGGCTGCTGTGGACTCTGGAAGAGGAAGTGGGACCCCTAGTGGCAGCTCCCATTTCAGACTCGAATCAGTCGACTCTTAGTGTTCTGGCTCTGCCATGTTTCTGTGTTGCTCAGGGTGGTGAAACTGTACAGATCATATTGAGGTAGTATTTTTATTTCTCCAATTTCAGTTATATATATATATAATTTAGAACAAATGAACAAATTATACTTTTATTTAGTCTTCATTTTCTATGTATATTAAGCTCTAGTGCTGCTGTTGTCTTTGTGGGGCAGTTATATTTATTTTTTGTGTTTTCTCTGAAGAACATTCCTGAAGTGGAAGATGTTCCATCCATCTCTCTCAGCTCTGAGCATATGCTCACCCATCATTTGCCATCAAAAGATCGTCCATTTGGATTGGGACAAGTTATCTATTCAGCTGCAGGAAGCTCTGGTGGTGTAGTCCATAGAGAATTGCACTACTGACCTAAAGGTTGTGTGCTCCCGGGTGTTTAAATCCACCAGAAGCTCCGAGGGAACAAGAGGGGCATTCCTCTCCCTTTATAACGTAGAGCCTCAGAAACTCAGTGGCAGGTTGCTGAGTCAGAACCAACTCAATGGCAGTGAGTATGAGTCTTTGTTTTTTCATATCCAGCAGGTTTAGAACAAGAGCTAATCAGACATCATTTGTAATCCTTTGTGGACTTTCTATTTATATCTAGTCATAACCCCTCAAGCTATTGAAACAATAGGATAAGCAGATCCTTGGAATTTTCTTTCTCAAGGTTTACTTTTCTTTCTTGCTGGTTTTTTTTTGTCTGAAACTTGCTTCTGTTTCCAGACTATACATTGTTCTGAAAAATTCTCACTCTGTTTTTATCCTCCCAGTTATATTGTGACGTGAGGCCTGAGTCACTGGTTGATTCCATTTGTTCTCCTTTGTATGCTGTTGAACACAGTCATTTGAGGTTTGAACTGAACTCACCTTCGCTCTGTCAGGATGGCAGTGACAGCCTCCCATCTGCTGTCACGTTTTCAGAGTTTTGTTATTTCTTCCATTTGAAGAGGCTGTCCTTTTCTTTTGATCTGAACTTGGCTTTTGAACATTTAATGGTCCTTTGACTGCAGAGGAATCCTTGGACTGTCAGATACGCCCTGTGAATGACCTGGTGTTTCTTGGAGTGTTCTTTCTTGCTCTTTTGCTCTGCTCTGCCCTAGAATAGTTTTGTGTTTTAGTATGGACTTTGGAAAGACCTAACAGTCATGTAGTGGCCTCCCAAGGTAGGTGTTACCAAGGACCACTTCAGAGCTCCTTGTGAAGGGTGAAGCAGGTGAGTATGTACAATGCCGCTAGCCTTGTGGTTAGATGCCATTGAACGAATTCCTACTCATAGTGACCCCACTGGGCCAACTGAAACCTGGCCGAGTTCTGGACCATCCTCACAGTCTCTGCTGTGCTTCAGCCTGTTGTCGCAGTCACTGGCAGTCCATCTCATTGGGTCCATCTTCTCTCTTTTTTATGTCTAATAGTAATATTCATAATGATTATGGAAAGACAAAGGCATTGTATTTATTGCAATTACATTTAAAATATCTTCAAGTACACACATACAAAAAATGCTCCTTAACAGCTCAATGTATTAAAAAAAACCCTTAGGACATTTTCATAATTTATTTTTTTCCTAATGATTTTAGGGTCTGAAATAAAGGAAGATCTGCAGTAAGAAGGATCGATACAGTGGATGCAGCAGTGGGTTCAAATATACAGTTCTATTTGATCCATGATATTAAAATATAATAATTATGAGGATAGTGCAGGAGTAAGCCATATTTTCACCCTGTTGAACATGTTCTTGTTATGTGCCGTTGAGTCTCCTGCGACCCATAGCAACCCTACATATAGCAGCTCTGAAACCTGCCCTGTCCTGAGCCAATCGCACAATTTCTGACACAGCAGCCTCCATTGATAGTGTTGAAACCAACTTGATGGCACCTAATAACAGTTCCTCCATAATTTATCATGTATGGAAACTAATGGCATAGAAGAAGCCAACTGCTAAATAAAGCTCCATGCGATTCTGGTTATGTAATAGAAAATGCGACTTCCTTTTTTTTCCACTGATTTTTCTCTTTACAATAATGTTGTCCTTTTTCAAGGACCAGGCCTTGCTGACAACATGCATAAAGTATGTGAAACTAAATCATTTCATCTCTTTCAGTGTTGAGCATAAATGAATTTAAGCCAGTCAAGCTGTGGGACAGGGCTTTGCTTAGAAGTGGTTCTTACAGGTGATGTCCATTAGGGGGAGCTAGAGCTTCGCAAGAAGCCACACAAGTCCGTGAAATGATAGAATTCCTGTGGGCTCTAGCCACTTATTTACGCACGTCTCTTTGTTCTAGGAATCTAGTTAACTAGACATTGATGGATTGTGAGGTGCATACTACGTAATTTGTGCCTCTTGTGACTATTTTATCTTCCTGGCCCTTGTTGATTGGCTGTGGCTGAGAGAGTCTGTATTTTGGTAGATAAAATGTACATACGCTATGGATAAATCATCCCTTTACCTCAAGGTCTTTGGGCCAAAGTTTTTACGTTAGGAAAAAAGACTTCTATTTGCTTCTCTTTGCTTCCAGTGTTTTTGGTGGCTGCTGCTTCCAAGAAAGACTTTTCTTTCATTTTTGTTTTCTGAGACTCTCTCAGCCTTGAGTTGCCCAAGATGGGTCCTTGTTATGTTGTGTTTTCCTTCTGGTGGGTTTACTGCTGGAGAATATGGGCTACTTCTTTAGCTTTTCTCTTTTTCACACAGTAATACTGGAACCGGGCTCTTTCTGCATGTCCAGAGTGAGAAAAAAGTGGGACTTACTAGGAAATCTTGTCTAAACAGCTTTGTTTGCCATGAAAGTAGAAACGCACTTTAAAGTTGTTACCATTGGATAGCCATTAGGTTCCAGAAACTGATGGGAATTACTAAGTAATAATACTTGGATGTGGAGCATATTTTAAAAGAGAGCTCGTAGATGTCAGATACTAACCCTGGTAGCTCCTAAAAGCTAAGAAGCGTCCTTTCTTGCAGATTTCTCTGGGGTTCTCATATAATTCAGCATTCACTTCCACTCTGGCTTTCAGAAACAGTATTATTCTAGCAACATGATAACTAAGACCAAACTAGGATCTTATTCTGGAGGCTACCTCTTACTTACATACTAAGTAAGATTCTCTAATATGAATAGAATTTTGTAATACAGATAAATGATGCTAAAGGTATTGCAGGGACAATGGCAAATCTTTCTAGTTTTTAGCTTTCAAGTATCCTTCAACAAAAATATTTCTGTGTATCTCTGAAATTATCTGCTCATTCATTGTACCTCTTTGTGAATTTGTTGATTCTGGACTCAGGCTCTCAAATGACTACCTGTTTTTGTAAATGGCAATTTTATTGTGCTATATTTCTGCTCATTCGTTTACGTATCTACTCTTGCACTACAACAGTTTAGTAGTTGCAACAAAGACTAAAAGAACTACAAGCCTAAAATGTTTTTATATAATCTTTTATGAATAAGTTTGCCTGCCTCTACTCTAGGGAAAACAATTGGTGTGTGGTCTTTTTAAAATAAGCTTGGATAAATTACTGTTTTCGTCTGCTAATGGTGTAATACAGTTTGACTTCCATTTCCTGAGATTCAGGGAAGATAAATTCCAGTTGTTGTTGTTGTCAAGTGGCATCAAGTCAAGTACGACTCATAGCAATCCCATGGACAAAAGATCTGTACCCTGTTCTGTCCTGACCATCCTCACACTTCCCAACACACAAGAGCCCATGGCAGCAGTCACCATGTCAATCCACTTGGTTGAAGGTTTTCCTCTTCTTTGTTGACCCTCCACTCTCTTCTTTGCTGACCCTCCACCCTTACCAGTATCATGTCCCTTTCCAAGGAATAGCCCCTCCTAGCAACATGTCCAAAGTATATGAAGTGAAGCCTCATCATTCTTGCCTCCAAAGAGCATTCTACCTGCACCCTCCCCAAGACATATCTTTCTATTCTTTTGGCTGTCCATGAAATGAATGTTCAGTGCTCTTCTCCAACACCATAGCTCAATGTCATCAGTTCTTCTGTCGTCCTTATTCATTGTCCAGCTCTCAGATATATAACAAGTGATTGGAAAGACTGTGACCGCAGTCAGACTCACCTTAGTCCTCAAACCGACTTCATTACTCCTCAGTAATTTGGAGTGGTCCCTAACTGCAGATTTTCCTCAGTACAATGTGTTTGCTTATTTCTTGACTGTTGGTACCAAGGATGTTAATTATGGGTCCAAGTAAGATGAAGCTGTTGACAGTTTCAGTCTTTTCTCTATGCATCATGATGCTGCCTATTGGACCAGTGCTAAGAATCTTTGTTTTCTTGATATTGAGATGCAATCCATACTGAATGCTGCATTTCAGAAAGTTCGCAAAAGCGCATGTGGTGTGTAGACCTACCCTGTATAGCATGGCCCCATTTTATAGATTCTGAGTTTTTTTCCCAGCACTTGTTTGAGCATTGTTTACCTCACATCTTGTTCACTATGTTGTGTACATCCTTTGTGTTTTATTGAGCAGGGAGAATCTCTTAAAAAGCAACTAAGTGGTCAGAGCAACCCTTCAGAGGCTTCAAGGGACAGTAAAATCTGGCATAGCATTCACATTAAATTAGGTTTTAGAAGAGTTGGTGTCTTCCCCAGAAGTACGTGTTTGTAATGATAGAGTATGGAAGCTATGGAATGATCCCCTATGATTTGATAAAACAGTTCTAAGAGTATTAGGGGTGGAATGTAATACCCTTTAATTCCATCACAACCTAAATTTTATGTAACGGGAGTTGTTTCCCTAGGGTGTGGCCTGTGGATAACATTTATTTTACTAGAGATAAAGGAGGCAATCAAGTGGAGAAGGGGGACTCTCAGTACAGCCAAGGAAGAATCACCAGGAGTAGAGCATGTCTTTTTGGACTTGAGTTTCTACTCTAGGGAGCTCCTTGATACTAGGAAAGCCAAGACGTATGGAGATCTCTTGTAAGAGAAATAAGAAAGAAACAAGACCTGTCCTGTTAGAGTGAGCAGGCCCTCCCTTACAGCTCACTCTGAATTTGAACTTTTACCCTCCTTAAAGAGAGCTTGGTGAACTAGTTTATATGGTGTTGCTCTGATAACACAAAGTCAGTGCCTCCCAGGGTGGGGATGGGGAGGTTAAAATCCAGTGGCAACTCCGAGGAAGAGAGATGGGGAGTTTCAGCTTTGGAAACTCAAGGGAGGGTCAGCAATGAGTTGATTCCAACTCAATAGCATTGAGAAAATGAGTAGAGTAAAAACATTGATTGCCTTGAAGAGACGTGGTAGAATTTAGAGACATCAGTGACAATTCGGGTACAGGCTGAAAAGGAAAGGAGGAAATTTTTCATACCAGAGACACAGATGAAAGGCATGGCAGCCTTAGTACTTGGAGGACAGACCTTCACAGACATGGAGACCAATGCAGGATACCATGGAAGCCAACTCTTGGAGCAAGAGAGCTGAATGCCTTCAGCCAGGAGGCCTCATGGCAGAATGGTGTGCATTTGAAGTGAAGGTGGACTTACTTGCAATTCTAACCAAAGAGCAAGGAAGCCTTTCAGTAGCTTATTAGTGAGAGACCTCTGGGCAATTACCAGCAGAACTAAGAGCTTTGCAGCATTTGCTGGGCAGGGCAGAGCCAGTTGATCTCTTCAGGAAACCAACGAGCATGGAAAGCAGAGTTGCCACAGGCTCAGAGAGGAAAGCTACAACCTTGGGAGTTTCAAAGTGTGAGACGGGGCTTTTGGGGTGTTTAAGTGTTGAGGGTCAAAGAGTCAAATCTTGCTATTGTAAACAAAGCCGCGATAAACATGGGTATACATATATCTACTTGGATGTCATTTATGGTCTCTTTAGGGTATATTCCCAGTAGTGGAATTGCTGGGTCAAATGGTATCTTTATTTGCAACTTTTTGAGAAAGCACCACAATGCTTTCCACAGTGGTTGCACCATTTTACACTCCCACCAACAGTGAATCAGGGTTCCAGTCTCTCCACAACCTCTCCAGCATTTGTTGCTTGCTGTTCTGTTAAATTTTGCTTGTCTTACTGGAGTGAGATGATATCTCATGGTTGTCTTGATTTGCATCTCTCTCAGGGATAGGGATTTTGAACATTTCTTCATGTGTTTATTGGCCAACTGAATGTCTTCCTTGGTGAAGTGTCTGTTCATATCCTGTGCCCATTTTTCAATTGGATTATTCTCCTTTATCTTGTTGTGGTGCTCGAGTATTTTATAAATTCTAGATATAAGTCCCTTGTCTGACATGTCATTACCAAAAACTTTTCCCCAGTCTGTGGCTTCCCTTTTTACCCTGTTAGAGAAGTTTCTGGATGCGCATAGGGATTTGATTCTTAGAAGGTCCCATTCATCTATTTTATCTTCTCCTGGTTGTAAATTTTTCAGAATACTGGGAAGACTCTTTATGTTGTGGATTAGGACTACTAAAGTTTTTCCAAGCTTTTCTTGAATGAAGTTTACACCAAAATCTCTGTAGATGTTCATTGAAATGAAAAATAAACAACCTAAATTAAAAAAAAAAAAAAAGGTCAAATCTTTGCCAACTCAGTTCTGGAACTTTGAGCTCCCCAGAGCTGAGGAATTGAGTATGCCATGCTTGAGAGGTTCTCAATGGGACATGAAAATGGGGTGAGTTGGAGATGAGGGAGCAGAGTTGCTCCTGAATGGACCTGGAAGGCAGAGCTGAAGCCATGGTACAGATGAGACTAGGGGTGGTGGAGGAGTCGGGGTATCTACCTTTAGCACAGACAAAATGTGCAACATTCAGAGTGTAGAGGGCAGAGCCATTCCCTCCATGGTGTCTGAGAATAGATTCTTTTCAGACTTGGAGAGCTAATGTAAATTGTTCTGCTAGCTACTTAGTTGGTACCTGTTCCGGTCTCTACCAGTTGCAGTGGAAATGTATACCTTGTGCATGTTTCACCAGTATGTGATGAAAGCAGACACAATGCATTCTAGTGTTCTAGAGAAAGAATTTTGCCCCAGAATAGAGTTTAACCTTGGAATTTTTTAAGACTTTTGTGATAATATTATGGGGTGAAGCATTTTGTTTGTGACAAGAGCATGGATTTGGAGGATTGCAAGAAGTAGAATGTCATTGATAGATTAGTATTGTTCCCACTCTTGCAAAAAAATACACACACACAAACACACGCGCACGCGCGTGTAATGTTATAATAAGGAGATCTGGTGGCTTAGTCCTCTGGAGATGTGTGTGCCAGCTGAAAGACCATATTTCTCTGACAGTTTGAAACCAACAGCCACTGCACAGAAAAGAGATGGATAATCTCCTCTCACATAATTTATAACATCTGAAGACCTGCTGGAGGGTCAGCTTTGAGTTGGTTCCAGTTCAACAATATACAAGAACAACACTGTCTTATATATCAGTATTATGAAGAACATTTCTAGCAAGGCATTGTTGCTTTTTCTTTCTGTAGGATATGAAAGACAAATTTACAATCTCAGGTACAAACATCAAGAGCCAAACAACACTCTGAATTGTTACTTGTGTACACGTTCTCCATCTATTCAGATGCAAGACCTTGAGTTTAGTCTCCCAGGAGTGTTCTTTACATTATTCATTTTCATTTCTAAGGGCTTGGGTATGGGTAAACAAAAAAATTAGATCGTTGAAGGAAGAAATTGTGTATCACTTTTTTTTTCCTTCTCCAGAGAGAACGTCCACCGCCTCCAGCAAAGCCACCACCTGATGAAGAGGAAGATGATCGTGGGGATAAGAAGTATTTTCCCTTGACCACTTCTGAGGTATACAAAGTTGAGAGTTTATTCCCATCATTAAAATATGAGATTTGGGGAAAGTGCATTATTACACACTTAAAATTAACTTTGATTTCTCATTTTGCGTTAGTGAAAATAATGTGTGTATATGTGTGTTTGTGTATGTGTATATGTATGTATGTATATGTATATGTATATATGTATGTATGAAATATATTAGTAGTAAATTTGCATTTATTAGTAATCTGGAGGAAGACCTTCAGACTCACTTAAAAGTACTAAACAAAGAATTTTAATATAGATTTATGACAGGGCAATTTTTGATCTGTTTGACCAGGTGAAAATTATTTTATCATGCTGCCAATAAGTCTATTGAACAGTCTCTCTTATTCTTTTATATCTGGATTATCTTTTCATACATGGTGTGGAGTATCCCCTAATCTCTGGTTTCTAAACTGCACCATATTACCAAGCTTGAGTGATTCTTTAGCAAATGTCATATTTCTGTTTTTGCCAGAGTTGCTTCACACCAATTTGAATGGATTTAGTCATGGCGAATGAAGCAAAATTGGATCTGGCCCAATTTTCTAAACATTGAATGAATCAGAATAATGGGAAATATTATGGGTTGAATCCCCGGGAATGTGGAGTATGTATGACACTCACTCCGAGTGGTGAGGTTGGCTGCCATCTTTGAGTGCACCCCACTGTTTCCAGTTCTGCTAGTCAAGAGTTTCCCGTTCTGTTTCGTTCATATTTTATAAATTCTGTTCTGATTTTGCTTCATGGGCCACAGTTGAACCAAGAAGAGACTCCGATTTTTATATTAGCTCTTTTCATTTCACATGGAAGAATCTTTACCAAAACAAACATGGAAAATGTCCTGCCTTGATTAGAAAAAGAAAAACAAAGCTATTTACAAAGGGTAGTTCATGTTTTTCTTTTTGTTTTTAAATCTTTTAAATTTTTTCTCCCACATTGAAAAGACCTTTTTTGTTGTTAATTTAGGTTGTTTAGTCTTAATGACAGTTTATAAATGTTATTGTTTTTTCTTTGATTATTCATACACATTTTGTTTTATAACATTAATTACAATTAATTGTTATTCATTAATTACACTCTCTTCAACTTCTTATTGTATATTGCTTTTCCCTTCACTCAAGTCACCTGTATTTATTAATTTTTATCCTTGATAATCATCTGTGAATGATTCTGTCTGTACTCTTTGCCTTAGCTTTCTACATTAGCCTTACACCCTAATACTCCTAATACTTAAGTCAGTCATCATAATTTCTTCTAGATTCAATCATTTTATGCAGTGTTTCACAAATTCTCTATCATTCTTTTAAGTTGCATAATCCTCCATGGTATGAATGTAGCATAGTTTCAGTAGCCATTAGCCTTTGATGGACACTTGGATTGTTACCATATCTTTAATATTGTAAATTATGCTACAGTGAACATGGGTGAATGTGTATATCAGTTTGTGTCACAGCTCTTATTTCTTTGGAATACATTAGCTAATAGTGAGATTGATGTATCAAATGGTATTTCTCCCTAATAGTGAGATTGATGTATCAAATGATATTTCTGTTCTATCTTCCTAAGGAATTACCAGACTGTTTTCCATAGTATTGTGCCATATTATATTCTCATTGGCAGTTCATGCGAGTTCCAGTCTCTATACTCTTGCCAGTATTTGTTGTTAGTTCATATTTTTTAAGAAAAGAAAGTTTACCATTGGACAAATACTCAATCTTCTAACTTCTGTATGTGAATAAATTTAGGATTTTCTTCATCTTTCATCTTCAGAACGCTTCTTTAATATTTTCTATTTAGAGAGTGCTTTTCTTAACATTTACTATATAATTTCAAGAATTGTTTTCTAGTTCATTTATTGACCTGTTGTTTAATAATAATACTACTTTTAAAAATCAGCTAATCTAAACAAGTTAATTAAGTTTATCCCTGGAAGTTAGAATTAATTTTTCACAATATTGCCTTGGACCATCAGTGACACAGTTTTATTTTCAGTGTAAAAACATGCAACAAGAGGGATAGCTTTAGACTAATATCAACAAATAAAATGGTACCCTTTTGAAAATGTAAACATCAGTATTTGCAACAGAGAAGATTTCTATTCTTGGTACAAATTCTGTCCTCATAGCTTTAGCTCCCTCAATTACAAAATGCTAATTATTGTGCTTCAGCTAAAGGCTCTCTAGAAATGCAACTCTCAGGCTATCATATGTTGCCAGGAGGTGTAAATGCATGTAGTGAATTCCTACATATTGTTATAATAATAATGTTTTTCTCAATACTCCTTTTTCAGAAGGAGAAACCTAGTAATACAGAGCATATTAATTTACAGTTAAATCTCTAAAAATTCTGTGTGTTCCTTTAATGACAACTAGATTGAAATTCTAGTACACAGGAGAAGGGCAAGGCTTTTGAAGAAATAACTGGATTATTGTTGTTATTAAATGCTGTCTAGTTGAGTATGAATCTTAGCAATCCTATGAACAAAAGATCTGAACCCTGCTCTGTCATGTGCCATCCTCATACTTCCTGACACATAAGAGCCCATAGCAGCAGTCGCCGTGTCAGTCCACCTGGTTGAGGGTCTTCCTCTCTTTCACTGACCCTCCAGCCTTTCCAGCATCATGTCCCTCTCCAAGGAATAGCACCTTTTAGCAACATCCCAAAGTATGTGAGGTAAAACCTCATCATTCTTGCCTCCGAAGAGCACTCCAGCTGCACCCTCTCCAAGATATATCTCTGTTCTCTTTGCCGTTAATGGGATGTTCAGGGTTCTTTTCCAACACCATAACTTAAGAACTTAAATTCTCCCAGGTCTTTCTAATACATACCAGTTGACAGTAATATAATGGTTAAATGCTCAGCTGCTAGGCGCTTTCAAATCTACATGTGGGTTCCAGGGAGAAACCCAATGGCTTCAAGACTACTCTTTATGACCCTATAGGACACGGTAGAACCACCTCAGTGAGTTTCCAAAGCTTAAAAAAATTTTTTTAAATATTTTATTTTCTTGTTGTGTACCATCTAGTCAGATCCAACTGGCACAGGAGGAAGCTACCCCTCATTCTCCAGCAGAGCACCTGGTAGATTCAAACCGTGTGCCTTTGGGATTGCAGTGCAGCTTCCTGCCAGTAGGTCATCAGAGCTCCCTTAAGCTTTATAAATTTATGGAAGCTGACTGTGTCATCTTTCTCACTTGGAGTAGTTGATGGGTTTGAACCATTGACGTTTTGGTTATCAGCCAAGCATTTAACCACTGATTTGCTTTGATAAAGATTACAGCCTAGAAAATCCAATGGAGCAGTTAAACATAATATGTATGAATTGTTGAATATAAAAATGTTTGTCCTGTTAACTAGCAAATAATAACAAAAAGTTCATAATATTTTAAAAATAAAGAGCAGACCAGTAGGTCTGGAATAAATGGAGAAGTGTGGGCACCTGAGCTTGCATCTGATGCACATTTGAATCTAGCCGTGGGTGGATGGGGATGAGTTGACCAGAACCCAACCAGATGAAGACTAAATGATCCTTGCAGTGAGGTAGGGTTGATTGCTGCAAATTGATGGCTTGCTCTGGACAGGTCTTTGCTTTTGGGTATAGATGCTCAAAGTTTCCAGGGTGAACAGAAGATCATTCAGCAGGAATATGCTTGAGGGACATGCTTGTTCCCCGACTACTGGTTTCATAGGGATGGGCAAATCAGAAATTGGCTATCTAAAAGGGGGCTATTAGGACATGAGATACGATGTATCTGGCTTACACACTCTCACAAAAGTAGTTATTAGTTGTTGTTGTTGTTGTTATGTGGCGTCGAGTCGTTTGCCACTCATAGCAACCCTATGTACAAGAGCCCTAAACCCTGCTCTATCCTGTGCCAATCGCATTGCCTCTGACACTCCCATCCCTATTATCCCAGTCACTGAATCAGTCCATCTCATAGAGGGTCTTCCCCTCCTGTGCTGTCCCTCT